GCAGCAATAGGGACAGGCAGTTTGGGAGGTCAAAGAGAATAACACACACATACACATAGATGTCTTGGATCCATATAGGGGGTAGTTTATTACTAAAGCACTATGAACTAAGAAACCAGTGTTTTCACAAGGAATATGCAAATTTATGCAAATGCTATGTAAATGTGAACATGCTGACTTTGAAAACACTTGTAACGTACATATCTAAAAACTACAAACTAAACTAATTTACTAAAGTCCCCAAAGATCCAAGACATTGTAGTGAGAGTAGTTGTTACGTAGAAGGTGGTCTGGCTATGAATTGGTTCATTGTTTGGCGCCTCCGAGGAAGGGATGGATGCAGATATTTTCTGAAGGAGTCGCTCTGCCTGTCCCCTAGGAGTTTGGTTAACTCAGTGGGTATACCTGAGTACAACGCCCATGAAGCACCACCCCGGTGAAAACTGTGGGTTGAATACTGATCAGCATTATGCACCAATGGAGCCAAAAGATAGGCCAGACTGGCTGGGAGGGAAGGAGTATAAAGGCTGGTCCTTCAGGAGGAGAGGGGGTATTCCTGAAGGCAGCAATAACAGCTGAAACGGGACAAAGAGGGTGCTTGGGGAGGATTGGGAGAGAAAAAAGCAGTTCACGACTTTTTGTTTGGATGGTTTTAGACCACCTAATTACCATACCTATGCCCCATGCCCCATGGAAACACCCGGAAGTCACCACGTGACAAATGTTTAGCAGGATCAAAAAGCCGGATGGATGGGGGGAGAACATTTGATTTTCGCAGGAGACCAAAAAACATAAGCAAAGATATAGCCCAAAACACTATATCTGTTACATGTGAGTGACTTCATACATGTTTTCATGATTTATAATTAATATAGTTGTAGTAATACAATAATTTGTAATAGTTTTTTAAAGACAATGCCTGGCATAATACCATAAACAAACAAGCCATTCACTGCCAAGTCAGCTAGCTACACATGTGAAGCTCCATGCTGCCCCCCCCCCCCCCCCAAAAATAACTTACTGAACCAACCATGGAGTTAAAATAAGACTCCATGAACCAACCAACACAGAATTAAACTGTTCTGTGCACATACAGCAGGGGGGGAAATATGTTCACAGATATTCTGTATTAACAAATATTCATATTATTCACAGTTAATAAGGATTAACTGAGTATTATTCTGATTACTGGTTAACTATTAATTTATTTTGATATTTTGGGCATATTCACAGGATTTCGAGTTCACGAATTCGCCAGTGACACAATGAGTTCTATTTTATGTTTTTGCATGTTTAACGATAACCTTTTTCATCTCTTCTATGTGTTAATAAAACTATTAATTATTATAATCTATCGTTATTTTAAATGTTTGTGTGAATTTAATTTAGCATATTTAGCCCAAGGACAGGCAGAAAGACAAAGAATTTCAAATTTTGCTCTGTTTATGTGGCTTTTACGCCTGTTAATGATCCATGAAAATATCACCTTGCCCTTATGTATAAAATTGTGTGATCTTTGGTGGAAAGTAAGTTGATGAGCATTTTGTGTGTGTGGGAGGAGGGGGGGGGGGTTACTGATCAGAGGTTTAATGTGAATAACTTGTTTGTTTGTTTTATAATGCTGGACATTGTCTTCAAAAAAGTAACCATGAATTAAAATCGTTGTATCAATTTCAATTTATTAATTAAGATATACATGCAGGTTTACTCAGAGTGAATTTTGTTTTTGCTTTTTCTTACCCAGACAGTCTTGGCTAGATTGCTAAATTTCGGAACTTTGTCAATGTTGGGAGATACTCGAAGGCACATGTGTGATTAAAAGTCTTGAAAGTTTGTTTACGTTGCTCTTTGAATGAAAAGTCACTGTTGATGGTATATGCAAATGAGTTGCTGGCATCAATACAGTGTGGACAGGGGGGGAAGAGTTGGTAGTTGATTGGTTGAAATAATTGTCTCATTTGCATAAATGAATATTCATTAGCAATGAAAAACTCGTCTTTTCAGTGAAATTGTGCCAAAATGCTTTCCGATAGCATACATGTTAGTTCTAAATTGACTGATTCTATCGTTACGAGCTGAAAAAATGATGTAAAGGTATTTTTTGAGACACGTTTTCGATCAGACTCCAGCTAACTGTTGAAAATAAGCACAGGTTTTCTCTTTACCATGATCATAGCAAGTTACGAAATTCATGGAGAATGCAGAAGCATGTTTAAATTTCACTCTAGTACTATTGCTCAAAATTGCTAAAAATGTTTTGAACGCAATAAAATCACGTGTAGAACTCGGGCTCCAGTAAGAAATTGTGACGTCAACCTTTATTTTTGCTTGGAATTAATTTTCGGTATTTTCGCTGAAGGAATGATTCAGTGAAAATAAAATCCAGTGAATATACCTTTTTCCCAATATATTTCACATTCAACTTGTCAAAAATCAGTGGAAATAAATTTCATACAAAACACCCAAAAATTTTTTCAGTGAAAATTAATTCCAGCTAAAATAAAGGTTTGTCTCCATCTACATTTACCAATTAATGCATATGGTATTTACAATTTTGAGACCTCTGATGCAGCAGTGCTCATCAGCTGCATTTGCAACTCATACTGTCTTCCTGTCCGCAGGTTTCATATCTACTTCACACATATAGTCAGCCATATTATTACACAGTAACCATTCATTTCTTTGTTTCCTCCAGTTTTGAGCAATGTGAAGAATGTTGATGACACTTTTACAGAAGAATATCTTACTTGCCAACAAATGTATCCTTTTGCTATAAGTCACCAGTTTTCATCATTTACACAGTCGGGCCGAACGAGAGCCGAGATCTGCCAGAGTTTAATTCAGTTCGATCAGAGCTGAACAGCGCCATCAAACACTTAGAATGAAAAAATGAAAACAACATGATTGAAAACAATTTCGGTGTCGTGCTTGTGGTGTTGTTTCTTTACTTGGCACACAGTCCCTCTATCCCCTGTCTGGAAACACTCTATTGTCAGTCTATTGTCCCGGGGCTGGTTGCGAGTAAATCAACCGTTCACACCTTGGACAATTAGCCACAAAGCTGAGCCTCCCCTACCTTTAGCACTGCAATAATAAACTGAAAACAGAACAGAACATATTACCGTGATTTATCAAAATATGAACATCCGAAAGAAAAACTAACCACATCACCAAAAAGTAAATGTACCTATCTATTCACATGAAAACATAGTATGGATGAATGCAGTTTTCTTACTATAAAATGGGTAAAAGTAAGTTCAGTAAATCATAAACAAAATGTCGCCCATAAATAAATTCTCATTGGGGCAAAGAAAAGTCCACCTACTTAATTTCTGGCAGTGCTAAAGAATTAATACTGCAGGTTGTTGTTCTTATAGACATGATGTTGCCAGCATTGTAAACTACATTGCAAATATATGCTTGGAAAAAAAAATTAATTTGAATGTCAATATGCCACTATAGAAAGACTCGCCAGCTAAAGAATTGAGTTGAGCTTCTAAATCTATATAAAGTATCAAAATATATGGTTTTTTTGGTTGTAAAAACTAGGATATTAAGGGAACAATGAATCGATCGTTTCATTAGAATGCTCTGCTATCAGCACAGCACAGTCTGAGAACAACAGGTAATTCGCACCCAAGACAATAGCCATTTCTAGACCGGGGATAGAGGGACTGTGCTTTGCATGATGCTGTTGAGCTGGGAGAATAAAGATAAATAAAGTGTTATGATTTAGGTGTCTTGAATAAACATGATACACAGCAGCTAAAATGAGCTTAATGTGTCACAGCCTATTGTCATGCAAAATTACCATCTTGTAGTGATACATTGTATGTGTAACAGTTGTCAAACTAAACCAAGTAGGAACTGTGATTGCTTCTAAGATTTTTATCTTCGGTTTCTTCAATTGCCATTGGATCTGTTCAGTCGTCCACTCAAGTTTTTGTCACATAATTTTGTACACATTTTTTCTGTTTTCGTTGAGCTATCAATCTATTGCAGTATTTTTTTACTCTGCTAAATAGATATTAGGTCGCGTATCTCTTCTTCAAACCAGAAATTACTCAAAATTACAAATGTTGTTTTCTTCCCCATAATTGAAATAAGAGGATACTTGAAGAAGATGATTGAGGGCTTGATTTCGGCCTGATTGTTGGGTCCTGATGTGTATACATGGTTGGAGCCATATCGGGGTCCAACCCTATCAGAGTTCACCGTGAGGGATGGTGCAGAGTTCAACCATGAGGGTTTATTGGAGCCGCACTTTGCTCAAGGCGATTCGAGCCGAACGCATATACACAACCATTTTTGCTGCAAAGAGTGGGCACAATTGAATTTAAATTTGGATATGAGTATACATAGAAGTGCCAGACAATTTTGGATTTCCTTGACTTTTATCTTTCAGTAACCATTCTTTCAAAGAAGCTGACCAAGTAAGTAAGCTTATGATTTAATTGCATTAGTGTACCCATATTTCCCACAAACTCCCACCTCAACAAACCGCATCCCCAACACCCTTATCAGCAACCTTCCTCTCACTCCCCAACCTACCAAACCATCTGCAAGTAACTTTTCCGGCAAAAAATATTCCACTAGGAATACCTACACTGCAAAACAACCACCACACCTACCGGTACCACTACGCAGTGAAAAGTGGACATAATCAAATATATTTTTTTGTTTAATTTTATTCAAAAACAATTACTAGTATCTAAGTCTTGATGGTAATTCTCTGGCTCCAGAAGATTTGGTGAACCTTGGTTTGGGTACATATAAAATAAAGGTGAGTGTGCATGTCATTATACTGTTATTACAATTATTAATTTCTCTATTATAAGTACAGCAAGCACATAAATGCCTTGGTAAAATGTTAGAATTAATGAGTTAACGTTTGGTATAATTAAATACTACCAAAATATTTTATAGTGCTTCTGTGTGTGAAGTAAACTAAGTAAAGTGTTTACATATGTCGCACAATTTCCAAATTAAGAACTCCTTCAAACACGTTCACATTTTTCAGACCGATAAATCCTATTATTTTCAGTGCATAATAAGACAGTAGAGTGGGAGTATTGACCGATGTGCAACGGAGGTTGATGCGCAGTGTACTGTCTCAGTGCATGCTTTGAGATATCCTCGTAATAACCGTATTATTATACATCTTTTCCTTCCAAGGATACATCATGGGAATGTGTAGAACAGAGTCAGCGAACTTCTTTGTGTGAAGTCAGGTCAAACTTAGGTGGCAGCCATGTTTGTTTTTACTATTAGAGGACGCTTATGCACATAATCATTCCATATTTGGAATTCAAATTTCCTTATATGGTAGGATGAAAATACCCCGTAAAATATAGCAAAATTATGGCATTACTGTGACAGATGTATAATAATAATATATGTTATCTCTACATCGGATTTGTTATTGAACATAATCAATCATAAATTGAGCTCATCATGATTCACTATGGTGTAGGTTATCACAAAACTCAAGTGTTAATTATGTTGGTCATCTTCTATATGTTTCTCCTAAGTATAACATGAATGCAATAACAGAGTAATTTACAGTACTTGCTGACTGCTTTTTACATGCTATACAGCCAAGTATGCACATTGTCAATTAAGGTAGCGGGACTATTATTTGCATGCTTGTTTTATCTTCTAATTGTGACCAAATGACTACAAATAGACCCAGGAAAGTATATATTTTTAGAATCGCCAGACTTCAACCTTTACAAAGGCGTGTTTGCCATGTCCGTATCTGCATTCTACGCTGCGTTACTTAATCAAAAGTAAAAAATTACTTTTTTTGTAAAAAAAATAATTATGCATTTATGCTGGTGATAAGTTTTTTTTCACTTTTCCTAGTTGTTCAATAGTCTGGTAAATTGAATGTGTCTGGTCAGTTTTATTCAAGCAACGCGTTTTGAAAAACAGTGTCCTGAATTTTAATTTCTGTTTTAGTCGCATTGCCCCCAACTCAAACCACAACACATTGGTAAATAATCCATGAAGTAGTTTGTCTGGACACATTCAAGTTCCTCTCATTGTAACCTTAGAGCTGTGAAAATTTGGAGTTAATCCGACGACAATAGTTGCGTTCACGCACAGCTCCTTAGCACGGGCTAAGAGGTCAAATTCCTTAGCCCGTGCTTAGAAAACGTGCGTGAACGCTTAGCACGGGCTAAGGAATGCTAAGTACGGGTTAAATCTATTCCGAATTTAAGACGCGGTCTAGACCTTAGCACGGGCTAACGAAGTATGCGCGAACGCTTAGCCCAGGGCTAAGCGCCCTCTGCGGCGACCTTTGGGTGTGAAAATTGTCCCATGTTCGTATAACGACAATATTCCACCAGTCATTACTCCGTGCTCGCTTCCACACTAA